CTTTTTTTAGAGAGAAGTGATGAAATTTAGGACCCATTCCAAATCGTTCTGCAGTCACTGGAGCATGTGGCTTCTTCAGGAAGAAGGTTGCGGTCTGTGCTCCATTGCTTGTGTTATTGCGCACACTTGTCATCGGGGGTTTATAACCAGTGTTACTCTCTCCTGTACTTTAATAAAATTAGCTACTGAAGTTACTGAGGGAAGCGAACACAGCGATTGCATTGCTTAGTCCTGCCAGAAATTAAAGTTAATGTTGTCCTGTGGAAAGGCTTTCTGCAGAGGGGAGGAAAAATGATTCCCCTTTCAGAAAACGTGGTTTCTTTCCCATTCCACAGGAGCGACATCACTGGCTGTGGCCTTAACAGGGCCGACGCGGGGGGGTCCCAGCACAAGCCAGATTTTGCACAGCACGTGGGTGTGAGCTGTGCTGTGGACTGGGAGCCCTGTTGGAACGGGACCGGAGATGCCATTGCCCTACTGGCCCTTCAGGGAAAGGGGTCCAGTCCATGTCCCATAGAAGTTCGATCTGTTTCTGGTTTTACAAGCCACAGGCTTGTGCATAAACCCAGCACCAGATACAGATACTGGATGTTTCTGTCTTGTCACCTTATCATGTATATTTCCCTAGTTAGACTTAGAGTTTTACCTTTAGCTAGAATCAGAAATGGGCCAAAACCAGTTTGCAACAGGAATGCTTCCTTCTATAACTAGTCTGGTATTTGTAGATTTATCTCTGTTTGAGAAGTCAGGTGTTGAAGTCCTCGATCCGGCACGTGGGTACCTAACTTTCTGTCTTCTGGCAGTAGCTATGTTCTACACACATGATAGGTTGGAGTTAGGCTGGCAGTCGAACAATTCTGCAGGAAATTTAATGGAGATTTGGGTTATGGCAGTAATTGCTCGCAGTCACTACACGGTTTAACTGTGCCCCGAGGACACCATGTAAACACAGCTCCAATTCTCAGGCCCAGAGAGCAGAGGAGGGGATATTGATTTCAGGCTGAACAGGGAGCTCCAGGGGGGCTTCATCTATCCTGGGCTTCTGAAGGGAAAGAATTAAATTTCCAAAACTCCAAAACCAGCAGAACTTCTCATACTCCTCAGAGGGTTCTCTTTTTCCCCCATTTTTTTTGTTTCTGATCTGTACTGTGAATTAAACATCAACACAGCAATTTTGGTCAGCAGAACAGCGTCTAGCGGAACAATCTTGTGTCTGGAAATACTGACTGGAGCAGCTCCTGTTCTGCCTTGGCAGCAATCCTCCATCAGAGAAAGGCCCTTCATGTTAATTATAGACCTCAGGCTTACTTGTCATTTGTCATGTTGTTTGCTACGAAAGGGCTGAGAGCAGATTCTTGGGTTATGGAGCTGGGACCCTAACGCTGGTAGAAGTTGTGCCTTCAACAGTTCAGAAAGACCTGCGTGACAATGTGTTCTGGTTGTCTTCTGTTTCTTGTCTGGCAGGTCTCGGGGACACCTGCTGAATTTGTTAATCCAGTTCTCGATGTGGGTCAGACGCTTGCTTGGAAGACAGAAGTGGTGGGAGATGGAAAGTGTTCAGGTCTGTGCTGCTGGTTTACTCATTAGGCTGTTTGAAGGCCCAGACAGAATGCTTACAATCCACCTGTCGAGACCTGGGATTGTGCATGGCTTTGATTTTCCCCCTCTTTCTAGAAATTGAGAAAGAAAGCTTTATCGTTAAAAGATGTTTTTTTAAAAGCACAAAATGATTTAGCTTTATTTTAAATAAAACAGAAATAGGACGAAGATTTTTCAAGAGAGCATGACTGTGCCTGTTGGCCGATTTCGTTCAAAACACAGAACATTGCTGCAGTAATATTGAGTATTTTTTACTGAGCACTGGGTAAGAACCCAGAGCGTGGTGTTCTAACGACATGTTTTTGTTGTCATTCCATCCCAGTAAGAACTGAAATTCAGTAATTCAAGAAAAGACTGAAGATTAAAGAATCGGGTCTTGTTGTTAGCAGATAATGTTGTAGTAATGGCGCAGTGGTCAGCATTACAGCCCCCCCAGTGCTGGAGCCCTGGGTTCAGTTACTGGGGTGGTAGCTGTGTGGAGTTTTCTATGTTCTCCCTGTGCTTGTGTAGATGTCCTGCTGGTACTCTGGTTTCCTCCCACAATCCAAAGACACAGTGGTAAGTTAAATGCTTTCTGGGAAACTTAGCCCTGGTGTGAGCGTGTGTGTGTCTGCCCCGTGGCGCCCTGTCCAGGGTGTATCCTGCCTTGTGCCTGTTGCTTGCTGGGATAAGCTCTGGGTTACCCATGACCTTGAATTCGATGAAGTGGTTAGAAAATGGATAGATGGATGTTAGAAGATAAGCACAGGTCTTCCCATGATGCTTCAGTGCAAGACATTATTACAGGTTGGGGGTGTGATAAAATCTAGTATCAGGTCCTGACCCCAGTTTGCTATGCAAGCAAATAAGAAAGATTAATAATTACACCCCCTAACATCAGGGATTGCTGAGAGTGTTCTGGAACATCTTGATAATAGAGGAACAAAAAAGCCTATAACAAATATTTACTGTGATGCAATACTAACCTATATTGGAATTAAAAGGTCAGTGAGTATCACAGCCCTGCTTTTTTGTTATTGAAATCCATAGTTCTAGCCTTATAATTTATAGACAACAAAACCACAGAGAGAACCTATGTCCAAGTAACATGGATCCTACTATTCCCTATTAGGAATCTCTCTGTCTATACAGGTGCTAACTAATGAAAGGGAACAAACTTCCCTGTCCTAAATAAAGACATTCCTAAAACAGGGGAGACATATTTAGCCTGCAGATTTCACAGTGAAGGAAATCATAATTTACAAATAAAACAGCAAGCTCTCTAATAAAGTTCACAGACCAGTAATCACTCAGCCTTCTGATTACCTTGACAGAATCTGGTTTTAAGTCTAATTGGAAAGAGGCATTCTATCAAGACACAAGCCTTTGTCCTGCTTCCTGTCTCCTGTTCTCACTTGTACAGTATCTGTGTCCATTCCAATGGAAGCTGCCTTAAAGACCTCACTCAGAATGTTCTGGTCAGTTTTAAATATTCATGTTTTAATATAGCTATCTTAATGATCTAAGGTTGACTTTGTCTAACCTGAGTAAATTATTAGGACTAATTTTGGTTATCTGCACCATTTGCCCTATTCATGTGTCTCAGGTCCAAGTTGACAGCTGTTTAAACACAGGAAAATAATATCCATTATTCCAAATCTTCAAAATAAGGCAATCAAGATGGGAAGTGTAAACAAGCTACAGTAATCCCAGCTGAAAAGCAGCTGCCCCATTAACTGCAACAGTATGTACTGTACAGCATATATAATTTTGAAGATCTGGTATGAATAAAATAATAAGCATATTTATTACAGTGCCAGTAAATTATTTTGACTATATGAAGACCATTTTGGACCGCCTTACATTCAATGCAATGCGAATGGTTTGAGTTTTGGATTTGGTAATGAATTCCAGAAGATTATTATAAGAATGTTAACGATTCTTGGGGATTCACACGAATCCAAGAAAGCTGCAGCACACTGTTACCATTCATGTGGAAATCTCATCTTGAGACGGAGTGTGGAAAGGGATTATAGAGGCATGGATTTCCAATGTGGATCTGAAACAGGAATATGCAGGCATAATTGATTCAAGATCCTCCCTCTCTCCCTCCAGGAGCTTTGACACAAAGGGGTTTTATAATTGAGTGAAATGTAGAAGCAGTAAGGACTATTTAATTACATTTTGATGAGACGCAATATTCCAGCAGTGTACCGTGAAAGCTTGGTAGACTTGCTTAACAGAGCTGTTCAGTGAGGAGATTTGGATGTTTATGAAGTAAAACGTTGAGCTCATTATCCTTGGGGTGTGTCACGGCCCTTGCCACAGGAACAGGAGAAAAGGTATTGATAGGAACAGGCCATTCAGCCTATCACAGCTGTTCGTTTTCACACCAAGACTCAAAATCAAAGCATCAAGCCCAGGTCTGGAAGGGCTGAGGGCCTGCCAGGTCACTCTCCTCAGGGCCTTTGAAGCTTTTCTCCGTTTTTGAGTACTGGTTTAAAACCGGATATTTTTTCCCCCTTGAACGTCATTCGAAAATACTGCAAGTGTCAACCTCGTGAATTCCCCTTTTGTAAACCGCATTCAAACCTCTGCTCTGTCCGTCTTTTCCCGAGGATGAAAACACTGAATCTCCTAGAGCCCTGGAATGATTCCCATACTTCTGGACCTTCTCCGTCTTTTTAGCATGGGAGGGTGGTACTATCGCAGCTTAGCATAGTGAGAATCAAATCCTACCGTACAACCATTTAGACTTCAGAACATTTTCATGGGGAAACTGAACCTTCAACTTCAGTAGGTGCAGGCTGGAGAGGTGGGGTGGGGCTGCCCTTCTCTTGGATTAGTGCCTGAGTGGTTTAGTCCACAAAAAGGCTGAGTAAGGCTGTCCCTTATTATGTGCTCATATTATAGTATAAGATTTTAGATGACCTTTTCACAGTTTACCTTGTGACTTGCACTCACTCTTCAGCTGTGAAAGTTCCCTTTGTTTTTTGGGTTCACAGCAGACAATGATACCTGGGTTAGACGTTTTCCCACAAAACATATTTGTAAAGATAATTTCGAACAGCCCTAGTAACCTTTTACTATGGCAAGTCACAGTGTCATCGTGCTGAAGCCTGCCGAGACCCAAGAGAGCCCTGGCTGACTTTTCCCACCCTACCCTACCCTCACTCGCCTAGCAACATGTCCCAGGTTCGAACCCACAGAGCTCAGCTCAGCCTACACTCTGGGAGCACCTTTACCAGCAGAGTAATGTAGATGCCCTGGCTGGGGTCTCTCCTCATCTTCTCATCTTCCCTTTTCATTTCAACATGGTGACTGGGGTTTCAAGCTGATAAATGGTCCCAATTCAAAGCCTGTCGATAGTCTGTCTACTTCCCTGAACCTTCGTGATTCACAGCTTCTTCTCTTTATTGCAGCACAGCCCTTCTTTGACCCCAGAAGCCTTCTGTGATTCTCCGGTCGAACGCCTACCTTCCCACTCCAGCACGACGCAGGTTTTTTTTGGCTCAGCCAGCAGTTTCATTTTTAAGCTGAGCTAATTGAAAGGAACTGACCCCCTCCCCCAGCCTCACCCCATCCAACTAGCATCATTCGCCCCCGGTTTGTGAAAGCACTTTACCACTTAAACTGAAGTACAGCAACCAGTTATATAAAACAGATCCAACAAAAATCTGTGCTGTGTATCCGTAATAATGCTGAAGGCAATAAAAGATAAAAGTTCTGGTGCTCCATTAAAGTGTCTTTAAAGTCTGCCAAGATCTGGGTGTTTGCTAGTTTTGTTTGCCTTTATGTTTTTTAATGTCTTCCTCATCAATCCGTGGCCCTTTCCCCTCTTTTTAAGAAGCCCATGTGCTTTTAAAGGGCTGTGTGTGTGTGTGCTGATGCAGGGCAGTGTATGCACCTCCTCAACTCTGCCATAGTCCCTCCTACTTCCCCCTGATATAGTGAGCCTTTGAGTAACAGTGAAGTCAATAAGTGCAGGATCTTTAAGTGAGCAGTGCTGGGACTGGCCCTCTGCCTCAGCTCCCGACTGATTAACACTGTACCCCTCTCACATGGACTACTCCGGCATCCTGCTCCTCTGGGCCTGGACCTTCCTGCCAGGTAAGCCTGGGCTGTGCCTGGGGCTCCGACTGTCTCTCTGAGAGCTGTGCAGCACTCTGGCAGCTTAGATTCAGCAGACAGGCAATCCCAGAAAAGAGCTCTGATTATTTCACAGTTCCTGCTGGGGGGAACATACAGTACATCTGCCTGGCAAATGCCAAGACAAGAATGCTGTGATGCAAAAGTTACACTACCAAGACATAGGAAAAAAAAACTTGAGAAAAGTTTTCATATGTATTTTCATGCCAGCTCTCTGTTCCAGCCTTATGGTTTTGCAGCACAAGATGAATGCACTCTGGAAGTCTGCAATGGCTCGGATTGAACAGTTAAAAAAAAATATGCATCTTATGATAAATTTGCATTTTTGCGAGCGTGGTTTTTGAGGAGCTAGTCTGGAATGATGTGTTTTTAAATTTAATGTTGCATGGTGGTGGTGAGGGAAGTAGCAAAGAGGGATCTCATTCTTAGAAGGATACTGTCCTACAAACAATATTCCAGCAGAATATTCAAACTGTAGTTTTGAAGCCTCTCAGAAAGGACCTGTGCAGTTCGCAGCCAGAGAAGGTGTTAACCGCTCAGCTACAGCATCTCAGTCAATTGGCTCTGAATTTCCAGGAGCTGCAGATTAGGGCGTTTGCAGAGTCCTTTAATCTTTGCCAACCTCGCTCCACATGTGTCAGCTGGGATACTCTGTCAGCCTGAATGTCACATTTGACTCATCCTTAGGGTAAACCTGCAAGGCAGTTTTACAGTTTTACAATGATTTTGTCTCCCTCATTCAGTTAGCTTAACCTCGATGTTCCTTCATCAATTTCCTTCTCTGTCATTTTTAACAATGCTTTAAATATGTTATTTTAATTGAGACAGAAGCCGAGACTGTTGTGGCTTCCCATGCATCATGCATGTTAGTGTTAAAGGAGCCTTTTTCACTCCACTGTATTAACTGCAGGTTTTAACTGTGCTTGAATGTGGGGGGTCAAGTGTTGCACCTGCCTCTAGCAAGTTTGGCTCTCGAGACTACTTGGATAGCCATGATCATGAGTCCTCTGTGTGTGTCCAAAATAATTTGCTCACGCGTTCTGAATTGCTGGTTGTTTTAAAGCATTTCTGTGTCTTATAAGATAAACCGGAAATCATTTTGTTGTTGTTGGCAAGAAATACCAATCTTTCTGCAAAGATGTACAGACAGTTCTTGAGAAGAAAAGCTCATCATTCAAGACGTTCTGTGTTGGGACGGGTGCATTGCTCTTGCCCTGTGAAGTTCTAGCACTCAGCGATCAGCACAGATTCTCCCCAGCCTGTCTATGTGTCAGTCCTGCTGGAGGGGCTATGTGCCAGAGAGACAGAAACGGCAATGCTGGAATAATTAAAATCTCCCAGCAACCTCCAGTATCTGACATCAGATAACTGCTAATACAGTAGCTGAAGTATTTTGGAAAAATGTTTTCATGTTATTTGGGAGAATAATCACCAGGCTATTTTACTTAAAATTCACAACTGAATGCAAGTCTGGGCAATTTTCTCGTTGTGAGTACAGATGGATTTTGTGGCCGTGGTTGTCAAAAACCTTGGCTCTGACGAGGAAAAAGCTCAATTAGCTCAGCTCAAGAGAGATTAAATCTTAGGCTTGAAACAGGTTATTTCAATATGGAATTTTGCATTTCCTCTGCTGTCTGATTTGAGCGGAAGTCAATTTATCTTCCACTAATTGATAGAGCACCTTTCTCTGCCTTACTCAGCGCACTGGTATGTCTGTCGGAAATCGTCACTGCTTAGTAGCTGCTTTATGGAATCCTGCACTTCAAAGCATTCGAATCATCACTGCCAGGAAACGCAGCCCCAGTTTAAGAGTCTGGTTACTCAGGATCATTGTTTGTGAATTAATGATGTGAGAAAAAAATGTTAACATTTGCCATTAACAGTGTGGCCGAGCTCAAAAAAAGCAACAGAGCTGTACAAGCCAGAGATGCTGCCACATGGCTGGAAGACCCCATTACCTTTGGAGTAGCTTGCCTGTAACTGTAAACACTCTTCTGTGAAAATCTAGTGTTACCCAATGTGAAACACCGAAGACCCACTGAAGTGAAAATGGAGCCAATGATTGCTTTGATCCACATTTCAAAGGCTGGCAGTGCCCTGGCAGCACTGATTGGCAATCTTACGGTCAGGGTGTGCTGCCATCATTCCCCTGTTCTGCAGGTGCACTATGAAAGTGATTCAGCCCATGGTGCAGTGCAGTGCTGTCATGTCGTGTGGTCACTGCCATGTGTTCTGAACAACATACTGTACATACAGAGGCAGCAGCTAAAACACACACTTCAAAGACGGATCTTCATCTCCTTTGCTCCAGTGAGGTTTGCTCAACACAAGCCCCCTGGAACAAACCAGTACCCTTTCTTCAGAGGAGTCCCATAGTGAAAGGCATAGCCACAGCACTTTAAGGAACTACAGTAGAAGCTAAGATAAATTAACCATGGAGCACGGTATAATTAGTTAAGCTGCCACACTATTTGCTTGGTAGATATTCCATAGAGCTTTTCTTTGTCACAGCAGAATTATCATACAGTATATAACCATCCATTTTTTTAGATGGATTCCAGTCTTATAGTGATCAATGTGGGGATCATGCATAGACTAAAACCAGAGCAATTGTGTGATTTTCCTCAAAGTTCCTCCATTGTAGATTCAGTAATTTGGGGCAATATGAAAGCACGCAAATCTAATCTGTTTTAAAACAAGTTTTCATTGTCATGGATTAAAAAAGGGCATTTTTTGTTAGAGCATGACAGCTTTGCGGGCATGTGTGTTATTTACCAGAAAGACTAGGGCATGTTGGTCATCAGCCCTCTGTATGTATCCTGCCTCACTGGAGCAGCACCAGGGGTGTGCGTGTTCCAATATTTATTCTTTCTCACTCAATTTCTCGTACGGCTTCGCCGAGCAAAATGCAACGAGGCGTGCAGACACGCAAGCGCCCTCCTGCCACCTCCGTGCCTGGCCCGCCCTGGCTTCCCCCTCCAGCCAGCTCGGAGCTCGCCCGGGTCCCACCGGCCTGCTGAGAGGAAGCCCCGCTCTGGAAGTTGCTCCTGCAGGTTGACACGTGGCCAAGCTGTGAGCCTCTGGCTGCCGCCGGGGCTGCAGGCTTATTTATCTGGGCAGAGGGATCGGCGAAGGAAGGCCCTGCGAGCTCCTGGCCCTGTCTCGTGTGCTGAGATTGTTGGGAATATTAAATCGCTCTGCCACGTTAGGTTTTTTAAATGGAAACTGGAGCACTTCCATAATTTCCTTTCTTTTTTTTTTTCAGCAGAAACCAAAGCTGTTCTTGGATTTTATCTGGGGCAGAGTGTGTTTTTATGCAGCAAGCGCAGAGAGTCATCAAAGAGTCCGGAATGAGTCAGTTGTGTTTATGTGCGCTTCAAGTTGGCACTCGGAAAAATGATAAAACACATATGGGAAAGATTTCTAATTCCCTTCAAAAATGAGAAAGCTATTCAGCGAATTCCCACAATATCTTAAATGTACTAGATTATTTTTAAAAGGGGCAAAATTGAATGTGGTTTTTTTTTCATAGATTTCCATGTTTGTTACCAATAAATGATCGGAATCTTTTTTTATCGCAGCGTGTTTAAAAAATGGAAAAAAAAACCTAACTTTCATTTTTAACACCAAGAAAATGAGGAGTATCCAGGACAATGGCAGCTGAAATATCTTGTAAGACCTCTGTATTGAAACAGAGAAGACTTAAAGCAGCTAAAGTTGTGAATATTCTAATCTCTCTCAAGCCAAGGTGGGGGCAATGTTCTGGTTTCCCTGACCCCTGACCCCTGACCCCTGACCCCACTGCGCGGGGATCAGTTCAATGACTGAACCCCAGAATCCAATGATGTCAGCCCCATGAGGGAAATTATTGAGGACCTGCTCAATGTGGCTTCAATAAACATAGGCTAAATTAGGAGAAAAAATGAATCACTTGTCGGAAGCAGGAATGCAAAGCTCTGAAAAAAGCATGTGCTGTTTATACTTGCTTCCATCTGGGCAAGCAGCCTCCAGACATACAGTAGCAGGCACCCTAGAAAAGGGTCCCTCAGTGTCCCCAAGGTCTGATTATCACCCCAATGTTCAGGAGTCTACTGTACATCAATGCCGGTGTGATGAGCAAGCTACTGTACCTGCATTCCTGTCAGCTGTTTCTGTGTCAGGGCAAGTATATGCACACATTCTTATGTAATTTTTTTTTTCAGGTGTGCAGTAACAGAATAATAACAGTTTCATGCAGAGCAAAACGTCGTGGTGTTTCCTTGCTCTCCTGTGAGTTGCTGCCTAGGCGTTTGTGCCTTTTCTGTGTTAATTCTGTTGGACATCAGGTGAACCGGAGGGCCCTGCGTCATAGGAAAGACCTAACTCTTAATGACGGGGCTATAGAGAGAAAGCGTTTTCATCCACTGAGGCAGGGAGAACTCTTGTCCGCACCTGATGACCTTTCTTCTTTTCTCTGTCTGAAGACTTCCAGGGCCCTCACAATCGCAGCTCCTTGAGCAACAGCGGCTTGTTGTACAGTTTTCCAGTTGTGCGATTTTTCCTGGATGACACTGTTGTGGCCTGGCTTGGCTCTGAGCCTGTGACTTCCATTGCTTGCTGTCTTTTCCTTACTTCAATTGTTATTCTTATGTATGCTCTCCATCTGGGAGTTCCTCTATTTCTATGGTTTGCTGTTAGGGCCCGCTGCTGTCCCCAGCTGGAACAATGTGACTGTGTTTGCAATCTGTCTTTGCCCGGATGATGAGTTCAAGCTGGAACAGAGGATCTATTCGATTGCACTGCAACCACAGCTCCACAGGACAGAGGGACTGGGCCAGTGTGTACAAAGGAAATCAAATAGTGGGTTTCATGTTGTACTAAATATATATATGTGACACCGGTCACATTATAATCAAAATCAAAACCTTGTGAGAGCTGAGGCGTGACTTCTTTGGAGGTACTGTACACTGTGTGTAGCCCGAGCACCCTGCATGGTAACATTGTGTCATGCAAGGGTTTCAGTCTGTACTCCCCCTCAGACATCGTTATTGTTAATTAACTGATTGATTTAACCCTGTGAAAGTATGAGGGCATACCTCTGATTCGCAATGTGACAACCTTTCCTGCATTTTTCTTTGCATTGTACTTTCATTTGCTTTCACTGGGCTTTCCCTTTGTTTTCACCATTCTTTTCATATCACTTTACTATGAAAAAACCTCGATGGTTTGGTGGTTTACCATAATACGTGCTCACAGGGGGCTTCTTCAGTAATTGTTAAGAATGGCTCTGCAGATTTTGCTGGAGTAGGCAGTCAGGGGGATGTTTTTCAATAGGTTGTGCTACTGTGTGTGCTGCGCGTCTGTTACAGGCTCTTCTTCGGCGCAGTCATGATCAGAGCTCGGCCCCTGAAGAATCGGCACACTCAGCAGAGCTCTAGTCTAACCTGGAGGTGGCACGGTGCCATGTTTGGTTTCCCTTTAAACTCTGTGGAATTCATCTTGCACAGATCTTCTAAAGATCCTGGATGTGAAAAATATGTTGTTTTTTTCACAGAGCAATAACACACCAGGCTTGACAGACGGCGAGGAGCAGCGATCTGCATATAATTAGCCCAATTCCTTTTAAAGCTGTTTTTTTTTCTTTTTTTAACTAAGGAAATGTCTAGGCCAGTTTTTTGCTTCCTTTTTTCAATATTGATGGAAGACCGAGTTTTCTTTCCTTTCAAAATAAGGTTCAAAACAAATTTGTCGGGAATCCAGTTTCATTGGATTGTGCTATTCTGGCAGCAGCAAACTATATTTCACTCCACAGGGCGTCTGACACGAGCAGATCTGTTGTGTTTGATGGCTCCGATCCTAGATCACCTTTGTTTTACGCCAAATTCACTGAACATCTCATTCGGAATAGGGACCAAAGAAACGCTACCACATGTTTGATGCCCTGACTGATACGGAGAGATCAGAAAAGACAGAGACAGAGAGGGGGGCCAGTTTTGCCCTGTCTCAATCTGCCAAAAGAAGAGGAGTCACACAGGATCAATACTGCATCATCTGCTCTGTGCACTTCCTGTGCTTATAACTGAACGCGAAAAACCCAACTTATGTCATGATTATTACCATACTACTTCAGGTTGCTTGGCAACAACAACAACAAAAAAAAGGAAACTGTTCTCAAAATAACCTGAACTGATAAACACTTTAATTTAAACAGCATGAAGAGCTCCTCGTCCTCCTGGCTAGCTGGAGCTAAGCTGCATCCTGCACAGAGCTTCATGCTGTCAGAAGGATGGAGAGCTGAAGGACAGGCAGAGTGCAGACAAACTACTGTAGTACTACAGTCCAGGGCTGCTCACAGCTCAGACTTCAGGTCTCCAAACAGAGAGGCATTAATCTGCTGTCGTCCTCCTGGCTTTGCTCTAAGAACCTGGGGAAAAGAGAAGAAGCATTTCTGACGAGACCCCTTACCCGATCCCGCTATTTGTCTTTGAAGGAAAGGAGAACAGTCCGTGAGATTGAGCCGTTCATTGTTACCTTTGCCATCATGGCTGCCCTGTGTTAAAGTAGCATGTTTACTAACCAGTAGCCCAGGCTCCTGGGGATCTGAGTCCACGGGCCGGACTCTGCCTCGGCACGCCAAGAGCACAGACTGAGTCCCCGCTGAACAGAACCTGTGAGTCTCTGTGCGCAAACAGGCAGGGCTTTATCACTGATGGGCCACCAACCTCCGCGCTCTAACCCTCCCAGGCTCTACCGTGTAAACAGCGCAGACAGACGATTCTGGGCTCCGTGTCCTTAGCTGCGGAAGAGAGAGAGCCTGTTCATTATTTTTAAAGCTGTACCCTAACCAGGTCACTGCCCACACAACCCAGTATGGAATAACACCAGTGTTCACAACTCATTTCAATCCCAGTTTTGATACCTTACCTTCTTAAAGCTTGAAACTTTTTTTGTGCTGTTTGAAGGAATTACCTAAAGGGTGGGGAAGGAGCCACTATTGCTATAGAAAGATTTAATTTCTCAGCACTCGGTCAAGCCAGAGCAAAACTGTCTGTAATTTCGATTTAAAGCTGCTCAGACCTTCCTGTTAGGGTGGTGGTTACTTAATGACCTATTTTTGCCACAATGTAGGCAGGTGCGGCAGTGTTGTAGCTTGGAATACAGTGTTGTAGCTTCTGTGGGAATATCGTGATCCTGAGCTGTGGCCCGGCCTGTTATGTGGTATAAAGATAAATACATTCCTTTTGCAGGAGTTTGGAACTGGCTGTCCAGTCAGTTGTCGGAGCTGATGCCTTGGCTTGTTCCAAGAAACAGCTGGATGAGACCTTTAGATCAATTAGCTACCAGCAACCAAATGGTCTTGTCTCCTCGAAACCTTGCTTGTGTTCTTGAGATCTGTTGTAAGACAAATGGAGTTCTTCCAGGCCAGCGTTTGGCAAATGACAGCAGAAAAGCAACACCTGGCACAGTAATCTTCACAAATTGATGGCGCTTATGTCACATGCACACGGATTATATTGGTTTTGATACAGAAGGAGAATAATTCATTTTGAAATAACCTGTTTTTTTATGTTTAAACATAAGTTAGCTTTCTTTACAATATGCACGATCCAGAATTTCCCGCCTTGCGCTCCCTGCTTGCTGGGATAGGTTCCTGCCACCCTGGATTGGATAAAGAGGTTAGAAAATGGATGGGATGGATAACCCAGAATCCTGTTTTCCTCCAGAATTAGAATACCCTTCATGCTGGATATAAAGACTGGTGATATACTATACCTGACTATTTCATCAGTTCTGCTACAAAGTGTGAAATGAATCCAAAAACAGGTAGTCCTGCCTCTCTGTGCCTTGTGCAGGTGCAGTGGTCTGATGGGCTGATCCTCTGCTGTGTACTGTAATTGTTTTAAACAAATGCATGGTAAGGCTCACCTGCAGCTTTTCCCGTTTAACGCATTGTGATGGTTACTGTTTGCAGGTGGCTGTGACTCTTTCAATATCGACACCAGACACCCAAGGATCATCCTGGGCTCCAGGGAGGCCCAGTTCGGATACACGGTGCAGCAACATGAAGCAGCCGGACAGAAGTGGTAGGACCCCCCTTTCGTCGAGTTCATCCCCTCGGCAATACAAATAAGAGCAGAAATGTCAGTCAGGGAACTTTTACCAGCAATTTGGTGTCTGCCACTTAGAAAGACGCCAAATTGCTTAGAATGCTGAGATGGATTGGGCATCTTTTCAAACTCCACACCAGAAGGCAGGGTTTTGCAAAAGCCTTAGGGTTAGAAACCAAAGAAGATACTGAGGTGTATAGTGGTATTTCATGTTTTGTATTTTAATGAGAGAAAGCAGGCTTGTTTCACCTGAGCTCACAGCCAGTGACTGAGGTCTGCACTGCAGTACCACCAGTGTACTTGACTGGGAGGGTTAAGGAACCCCCAGTGCCTCTCTGCAGTACCACCAGTGTTACTCTGGGTCATTGCTCTCGTTGTTGCGACGGTAAACATTCTTCCTCGGTCACATTGTGACATGTGACACGTTCTCTTGTGCACACAAAAAAAAAAGAATGAGAAAAATATTTATGAGGCCCTGTACAATCCAGAACATCTAAAAATATTTTTAAGGAAATGCCGTGGGGGAAGATGCGCGATCCGTCTTCTTACCTCACTATTGTTCCTGTCTCCGCACACGAAGTCCTGGACGGGAGTCAGTGCTGTCATTCTCAGGCATGTCTGCTGGCGAGGGGAGAGCTGGCGGCCTGCCGCCGCTCTGTTCGAGTTACTCTGCTGCTGCTGCTGCTGAGGCGGCGGCGTTTCAGCTCTCTGCCAGACGGTCTGCGCATACCTCACCGTCACTCGATAACTCTCCCAGACTCGGAGAGAGCGGCCCAGCGGAAAAAAAGGGCTCATTTTCTTGGCTCGTTAGTCAATGGAAGCAGGAGATCGATTGTTTTGTTTTGATTTGTTACAGCTCCTTTTCGGACGCCGGGCACAGCTTTCGGATTTGTTAACTCCCGAAACCTTTTATCCTGAAACACTAGTAGCGCTGAAAAAAATTCCCTTCATAATAAAAGCACAACAAAAGCAGGCTCCCTGGTCTCTTAGGAATTGCCTCCTAAGAGGAAGTGTCTCGTGTGAATTTCAGTTTTGGCCAGACAAATGAAGTTTTTCTCTTTTCAGAGAAAATGTAGATAATGGTCGTCTGAAGCCATCCTCTCACAAGAGCTTCTGCAGAACACAAATAAAGGCATGAACCCTTAACAACAATTTTTCATGAGAGAGGTGATATATGTCTTCCCACTAGAAACACCACTAATGGCAGTAGAACTGGTAATACATTCTTAATTTGTTTTATGACTTTCCAAAGGGCTTTGTTCCAAAGAGTAACACCAGTGCAGTGAGACATTGCTCTGTGTTTGAGAAGCAGCATTTTACAGGGCTGATCATGGTATGAGTTTGCTTCCACTCTGTCAGTTTGGTTTTGCTGACATTTATTAACTGAGATTTATTCTGTTTAACCCCCCACCACTACCCCTGCTCCCAGGGAAGCTGGAAGCAATTTGTGGCAGTGGAGGAAATTTTCGGGATAACGTCACAGTGGTCTAGGATATCATGTCTGTCCTCTGTGTCTGAGAAGCAGCAAGAGCTCCTTCTTTGCCAGTCTGATGCAGTTACCTGCCTGCTGTGTGATCCCCTGAGTTTGGAATAAGAGCTGCTTTCACTAACTCTTTCCCCCATTAAAAATGAAACTATCATTACTTACATCAGAGTTTCCTCATTGTATCTTCCAATCCTGTGGCTTTGCAAGTATTGAGCTGTAGAGGAAATGTTTTAGGTGATTTGCATCAATGCAGATTGTATGTCCTTTCAGGAAGTACGTATCAAGGATATTTGCTATTGAGAAACATCACTAGTGCTCCAGGCGTGAGCTCAGAACTGCCACTTACTCAGACAGCACAAGTAATGTGAAAAGCACTGCTGGTACTTACTGTAGGGATGCTTCTTGATGTACAGTACGGTGCTTGAGGCAGAGACTTTTGCCTGTTTGCAAAACAGGGCAGTTTTGTTCCACAGCACAGTGCCTGCCAAGAGCAAATGAGGAACACTGGGACATACATGATGATACAGAAAATGGACTGATTGAGTCTGCGCTCAAGGGGTCGCAATATTTAACCACTCATTACCTGCCTATTACAAGGACAGGTATAAATGCAGTGAAGAATCCCACTGGGACTGGCCCAGACAGGTTACTCTAGCTGTGACAGACTCTGCTGCGGAGCTAAGAATGGGCTGGTACTTGCAGCAGTGGAGCTTTAAATGAGAAACACACAGCTTCGATGCAGATGCTGTCCCTCACAAAAGCCAGGAGCCATCAGCAGATGAAGCTCAGGTCTGCGACCATCTGCGTCTGCCAGTAAAGAAACAGAATGGTCCACATCCGCTACATTACTCTTTACCCTTTATTGCCCTTAATATATAACTCATTTCCTTTTTTTCTCTCTCCAGTAACTTGTTTTGATCTGGGCACAGGAAAAAACACAGACAGCGATATTTAAAAAAGAATGCACATACAGTACGTGAGGAGGAGCAGTGCACTGGAATGTGTATAATGCACATTAAATACAGATGCTGCCATTTCCTACATGCTGGCAGATGTATTCCCATTGATGCCCTTAATACCCCTTAAATCAACATGATTTGAGGGGTATTGATCATCATGACAGCACCTGGCTCTACTCCATAGATGACGCAGGGCACTCCTTGTCAGTGATGGTACCAGAATCCAATGGCTGGTGGGGAGGCTGATAGCTCTGGCTGGGAGTTTTCACTGGAGGCCAGCCGTTCCAGGACCTGTAAGAGGAGTGCACTGGCTCCTTTGCAAAGGGTGATAACTGGAAAAAGAGGCCCAGACATTGAAAAAGACCAATCTAAAACACACAAGTTGCCATGAGCGTGTCAGACAGCATGCTGCCCCTTTCACATGTGGGGAGAAAAGAGGTTCATTACACTTGATCTCTCTATTGAGTCGTTTGCTTTGGTTCGCACAAAGAGAGTTTTAAAGGCATAAAGGTTTCGTATGATTACAAATGAAGAACGGGCTATACTTAATCACTGAACTCTCAAAAAAGATTTTTAAAAATCTGTTTGTCCTTCCTGCATACAGACTGGAACTGGGTTCCTGAATCTAGACAGGGTGCCAAACATGTAAATCATCTCTGCTAGAGTAGCAGCCTGTATGACTTAACAGCAGGCTGGAGTTCTTCAGACATTACACTGTTAGATTCATCACTGAATATTTCAGGCAGATTGGCCGATGTCTTAGCGGTTTATTTTGCACCAGAATAGCCCCTGATATCAATCATGAAAGTATGAGGACTTTAGAATTTGTTGTGATGTGAGAAACAGATTGTTGCTGCCTGCAGAATTGCACAATCTGCCGAATCTCAGGGTAGGGGGAGGGTCTCACCATCCTGTTTTTTGTTTTTTGTTTTTTGTTTGGGGGGGGGGCGGGGTGAAAGATTGCCTTTGGAAACGAAGTGAAGAATGTCATAAACATTAAACATTGAGCGTCTGGTATTGTGGTATTGCAGCAACTCATTTCCTCTAAAGGCGATGGAATAATATGTCACCTTTTCACAATTAAGTCGAACAGGTAGAAAGAGGAATGCAGATGGAACTATTCATATAACCACTAGCGGCAGGATGGGCAGAGCACGAACATCCTGTATTCGTCCCTTTAACAGGGCAGTGGGCGGCTGTCTTGCTGTTTGGGATAATTTGGAAAGTATTTGTTGTGGTTCTGCAGATTCCCAAACCCCCTTCCGTGCATCAGATCACAGGCTCTTAAATCTTTGCCTGTTTGAAGAAAAATACATGCCACTTCTCAAGAGCATCCCAGAAAACAGGAATTTGTTTATTCCCTTCATGCTTGGTTAGCTATGCTGATAGTTTGTAATATTAGCACAGCCCAATAAAAATGGTTTGTGTTTTGCCCTCAAAAATGAAATGAAACCTCACTTTCAGCAGTTCTCTCATGGCTAGACACACATTTTTAAGAACATAATGATCAGGGTACAAGATTGCATAGTATCTTTTTTTTTACAGCATCTTGTTTTAGGTTTTTTGAAACGTGATGATGCTTGAAATTTCAGTACATTTTTTAAGCTTCTAATGTGGCAGTTGTGTTTTAGTGATCTGAAAAATGATTTCCTGTTATGATATACTTTTGTACTCCATCCTTACTATAATTGCTGCCTGATTTTATGAAGCATGTTGGCTTTGCTGTAGAAGAATTAGTTGCACTGGTCTTCTGCTGGAGGGGGTTCCGGCCTGGATCATCACACTGACTTTATTAAAGATCATAGCAAATAGCAGAGGTGCCATCCCCACTTATTTTTAGTTTTTAAGAGCTCAGTAATGAAGCGGCACTGATAACACACCAGCACCATAATGGCCATGGCACTGGAAGTAATAAGCATGTTGAAACGTGAAACGTTCTGTAGCGAAGCATTACCCTGGGGTATGAGACAATGGTGGTAATAAAAGAACAGTCGATCTGTATCAGAAATTGTATTTAAACAGTATTTAACATTGAGTTGAGCGGTTCAGCATCTGCTTTGAAAGTGCTTTCGTGGTCCGAGTTAAGTTTCTAGCCAGTGCCTTGAGGGACAATTATGTCTCATTACTGAGACATAACATCGTCGTGCTTGGGAAGCAGATCATATATTAGACATAAAATTTTAATTGAAAGTTATTTTAAGTGGAAGTACAGAAGAGGAAAATGTTCTGTGAATGCATATTTCACAGGCGCTGTCAGGGAGAGCCGCTTCATTTTGTCAGTGAGGTGAAAGTGTGGGATGGCAGAAAGTCCTGCTGCGGTCAGAGAGAAGCAGCTGGCGATCCCAGCTGTGAAATTTCATCCCAGGTCACCCTTATGAAAGAGTCTATGTTCACTTAGAAAATAAAGAGCAGCGTTGTGTCTCCACTGAAGAGCCAAGACCTGACCTCTGACATGGCACAAGTCCTGCTCTTATCAGAATCGATTCAAGAGCAGGACAGTTCCAACAAGCTGGATCAACAACTTCCCTGAAAACTTGCTTCTCATTTAAAACCTTCTTATAGAGCTGACTATGAAAGGTCCTAATCCAAGCCTTAAAAGACCTCAACGTAACTGACAAAGTTCACCCGATGGACGTTTCGGAATCAACAGTGAAACAGAAATAAGAGCACATAAGTGGAAACTATGTGGAAGGGCAATTAAGCCTGAGAACAGGATAGGAGGCACCCCTTACACAAGGGGTTGTGGGAGTGTGGAACAGGCTACCTGTTGACGTCGATACCCTGACTTCTTTCAGGGAATGGCTGCATGAGATCTTGGGATCTACTAGCTACCAGACAAGCTAGATGGACCAAAAGGAATTTTCTCTTTTGTAACATTTCAGATGTTATTACATTTTCATCGCCTCTCTTGGAGGTCTCTGCTCTCAGCAGCGAGCCCGGGCTTTGGGTCCAGACATAGAAGTTAAAAGTTGTTCCGGTGCTGGGTCTGCACCTGCAGGATTGACTCTTCAATTCTGGCTTCATTGAACAAAAAGACATTCAAGGAGAGGTACTGTGCCTCTGGCCCTGCTGCATCATCTCTTGCGGCTCCTAAACACAGATCGATGAAACGTGGCTGCTCATCGTACAGACAGTGCCTTCATGGATAACTAGAAACACATGAGTGTCGTGAGCACATGAACAGCTTAAAACCCGTCAGTCAGCAGCAGTATCACAGGAAGGTGGGGCTGGGGGCTGGAGATTCGGCTGCGGTTTGACAGGCAGCCTAATGCCTCCAGCAACAGTCGAGAGCACTTTTCTCCAAGTGTTAAAAGCATTATTGCATTAGAGGTTCGGGTTTGGTATCGCGTTCCCACAAAACTGCTTCCAGCACTGCGGGAGAAACATGGTAGCTGCACATTCAAATGGTTATTTCATTACGGGCTGTTAATCCTCGCACCCCACGTTCACATAAAAGAACAGGAGCTTGACTTTAATTTCAAGGAGCACGTTTGATTGCTAAAGCAACTTGGATTTTCTGTGTCTTTGCTTTTTCATAAACACCCCGATCCACCCCTCCTACCCCCAAAGCAGAGTATCGGTGTGCATCTTTCTTTCGTGGACAGCATCCCACTCTGAACTCCCCTCAGCCATTCATATGCTGCCAAAAAGGACCTTCAGAATAGGGCTACTGTTCATGATAATGTGAGTCCTGAATCTGCAGCGCTCACTGGGTTTCTGCTGGGGCTGAGTCTATCTGAGAGCACAGTGTGCCTGCAAATACCTGGGTTACCACTGTTTGGACAACAACTTTTATACAGTTGTGTGTACAGTCTGGAATTTATTCTATATTATAGACCTGTAATTAAAGTTTTGTGCATGGCCTAAATGACTTGATCATTATTATGATGATGTGATGACAATAACGTTTATTAAGCAAATGCCATGTGTGACTGGGAAATGGCATTGAATACAGAGTCTGGTAATGGAGCAAACTCTAAGGGGCAGTCTAGAATAGCCAATCAAATCAAATCTCTGTGGGAAGAAACTATCAAGATGTGAAAGCCCGTGTCAACTCAGAGAGGCCATACAAACACTGCACAGATAGACATACTAAGGCAGCTTTATTGCCAAAGTACTGTGTCATCGGAGATACCTTCTGTTCATGTGAAACCACCCAAATACCACAGTACTCCAGTACTCCACACAGGAGGAAAAGGCCAATGCTGTGGCTCCTCAGAGAAGAGGCATTTTAGCTTTCATTCTTCATTCCTCGGATCCATGCATCTACAGAAGAAATCTGCACAAGAGGAAGAAAACCTGGCAGGGGCAGTACACCAGCTAGCCCTTTGAAGTCTGCCAAATGCCGCATTGCAGGAAGGGTCTGTTGGTCCTGCCGCGTGCTTGAAACAGGAGGCCAGTTCTCCTGCACTCTGGCTGTGTGTCAGCTGTGTAAGAACACACAAAGTAACATCCTGCGCTGCTCTGTGGGAGGTTCATCCACTCTGCTGGCTCCTTCAAAACTAGCGGCTTTTGCAGCAATATTTAAGATATATCACATTTCTCTGAGTTGGCTTTTGGAAATATAGTTATGAATGTTTTCTCTTTTTCGACTTTAAGGCTCCCTCCAACCAGAAGGACAAAGCACCTTTGTGCAGTTCAAAGCAGTGGCTACTGTTTCAGCTTGGTTGTCAGCTCAGCACTCTGGTCTTAGTTTTGATCTGTGTTGTACAGGTGCTAACACACCATAACACATATCCTTTTTTGGCACTGCTCTCCTCCTAGTGTAAGAATCTCCTACTTCATTAACTTGTCTTCCAAGGGGGAAAAGAGCCACTTCATATTCAAGTCTTGTGATGTTTGCCCTGCGATGGTCCATGGTGTATCCCGCCTTGGGTTCATTGCTTGCCAGAATAGGGTCCAGCACCCCCACGACTCTGTATTGGATAAAGCAGTTTAAGATGGATGGACGGGTCTTATGATATTCAATATTAAAACATCATCTGGTCAAAACTGAGCTAGCAAATTTTAATATGGCCATAAGACAATCTTTTTAACAGTTTGCCAGAAAAACCTTCTAGCAAAGTAGTTTTTAGAACATAGCAATGCATTTTGTTCCACATAGAGAATAAAACTTTTCCCAGTTGTATCTTCCGATTATGTTTGATGATCTAAGCTTGAAAAAACTTGGGTCTGCTTTTACCTTAGTCATTCTTTTTAGAAGCAAAGATTAAATGCACAGTTGCCCCTAAGTTACTATATATTATACTGATATCCTTTACCTCTGGAACGGAGAAACTCCTCAGTCTGTTTCATGTTAGGAAGAATATTTTGATGATCTTTTGACCCACCCGTGTCCTGCTGTAGTGAGCGACCTGTGTAAAGACCAAGCAACTGGGTTCGGATCTCTGACTGAGCCTCCTTGCACACAGTCGAGCACAGCACATACACAGCACAAACACAGCACATACACAATACACAATACCTACACAATTCATACACGGCACCTACAGAGCACCTACACAGCACATACACAGAATATACACAGCACATACACAGCCTTGCAGTTCGCTCTGCATCTCTCCTTCCCTGTGCAGCTGATGTAGCTGATGGCAGGGTCACTGAGGGGCTCTGGGATTACAGCAGCAGGTGGGGTCTTCCCAGCATGACCTGTCTAATGTGTGCTGTCGTAGACTCCTAATGTTTACTGGGAGTAGCGCAGCTTTACTGTGTGAAAGAATACTTCAGAAGGACCATATCAAGGGCCATTGACTGAAAAACAATTAAAAGGAATACTACAGACACCCCCTGTCAGCTTTTAAAGGACCCCTGCCGGTTTTGTATATTTTTGGCTGCTGCTGTGGAGGTAGGTGACTGGACATCAATCTCCTCTCTTTGATAGCCACTGTGGCTTCTTCTGTCAAGCACGATTGAAGGTTCACACAGTGCCCTTATTCCAGGCTGTTGTTGTTTTTTTAACAGCTTTATCATTAAGGGCAGTTGAAAGGAAGACCGAAAGTTTTTCCTGGTGCCACGTTCTACACGTGGATATTGGATGCTTTTTTTTCTAGATCACATGGAAGCATAGAGAGGGACTAAAATGTCAACAAAATGGCAGCCGAACAGCATCGCGGGTTAAAGCCAGTGTTTCTTGCTCTGCATCCAGTGGCCTGAGGGGTTCCCGTCTTGCGTCGAGCCCCCCGGGCGGGTGTGGAGTCTTCGTGGGAGTTTGTACCTCTTTTTCTTGTCTCCCCAGGTTGCTGGTTGGCGCTCCATTTGAAACCAATGGCCATTACCAGACAGGGGATATCTACAGGTGCCCATTAAGCAATAATGGGAGTGGCAACTGCTCCAAGCTCAACCTAGGTATTGTCCCCCTTGGCATCTGTTCTGCCTGAACTAATTCTGTGCCAGGCAAGAGGTTGCAGCAAGTTATTCACCAGCGTAGATTTAATCAGTTTCTGTTTATGACAACAAACCAGGCTGTACAGCTGGCATATACTTAGCATTGCAAACATATGTAAGACTGCTGTAAACAGTTGCTCAGCAATTACAAAGACGCTGCAAGGCTGACTCTTGATGATCAAGGCACACAAAGGAACATGCATTACACCTGTTTCAGCACAGGTGTGGACATGTTAAAAGAACTGATTGGAGGACTTCGTGTTTTTTCGAGCATTTTTATTTCTTGCATTTAATAGACGTGCTTCCCAGTTCTACCAGTTTCATTTGTTTATGTTTTGTTTTATTCCTCAAGGAAGGATATCGCTCACTAATGTGTCAGAGCGCAAGGACAAGATGCGCTTAGGAATGACACTTACCAGCAACCCCAAGGACAACAGCTTTGTGGTAAGCAAATCACCTACAGCCCAAGCTTTAGGGAAATACTAATACAGCAAACCAGCAAAATAAACATTTTATATTAATCTTAGTTGCAGATTGAGTTGGTATATTTGAGATGCTAAACAGAGGAGGGTGGTCTCAGTAAGACTGAGTCTCTCACAGTTCTGCCAGGGGCTGCATCTGAGAAGTACTGATCCAGGCATCTGCCAGGCATTAGAGACAGAATCCGTGTTGACAACATGTTTAATGAAAGGGGAAGCAGCACCATAAAGAAAGAAAAGGAACAACTCCAACTAAGTGCCACTTTATCACAGTAGAAACCCACCGCATAGTTTCAGTAAGCTTTCTTCATTATCCCAGCTTGGCATTGTCTGAGGAATTGCAGTATGGTCTCCCTTGTCAGAAGTGATTTTGTAATTACTGGCTTTATTTGCCGAGTGCTGGCCTGCCGTAAAGTAATTAGGATCAAAATGAAACTCATGTTGGACTCTTTCTGCAAGTGTGCGCTGCCACGGTCCCAGTTACTTCCTGAGTCCGCGTGAGAGCAAGTGCACAGAGAGCCTGTGCACGGCCTTGCACTGCCAGCCTGAAGCCATGCCTGGACACCGAGTGAGACCTCCCCTCTGTTTCAGGCCTGCGGCCCCCTCTGGTCCTACGAGTGCGGGAGCTCCTACTACAGCACGGGGATCTGCTCCCGCGTCAACTCCACCTTCAAGTTCGCCCGCACCATCGCTCCCGCCTTCCAGAGTAAGTGCCGCGCCACCCCTGGAGTCTCTCCCACAGTTCTCCACAAACTGAGCTGTCTGCCTAACATCCTCCCAGCAGCCAGGGATACTGTACCTCCTGCAGCCTGTTCACATGAGCTTTCGGGTTAAGGGCAGGGGCAGGGTCAGAGTCTTCACTTCAGGTCGGAGGCGTAGAGGAGGTAGAGTTTAGAGCTGGGGTGGCCAGTCTCGGACCTGGAGGGACAGTGTCCCTGCAGGCTTTCATTCCAGCTCAGCTCTTAACTAAAATCATCTCATTGTTGGCTTAATGGGTCACAGTCCTCAGTTGCCCCTGAAAACTGTGTCATTCCCATGAGAGATTGAGGTTCTCCTTTTGAGCTGGGGACTTATGCTGGACACCTCTTGGTTTGAGCGTCCCCCTACTAGTTAATTAATTGCTTAATTAACATTTCCCTGTTTATTTATTCCCGGGGTGCCACTCTGGAAGTGCTCTGACATTGAGCCTGTTTAAGTATCTGCTCGCTGCATGTCCGTCTGACCACAGCCCGAGATCCTGAATTTCCACCTGCGAGAAGCCTGCCTCCCCTCCAGGTCCTGATGAATACTTTACTTCCAGCACCTCAGAGAGCTTCTGGACACTCTGTGGCTTTTTGTTCCATCAACTTCGATAGTCAATTAAGCTTTGTTTAAGTCTTAGCCTTCACCCTGCTCTGCTGCCTTTCGGTGGTGTTCCAGTAAGCTCCGGCTGAGCCTCCCCTTTAATTCCCAAAAATATTCAAAGACCCATGAGAACACGCACTTGGGTTCTGGCTAAAACTCCTTTGTGGCCGCCTGCGGCATACATCCGTGTCACAGCCCCTGATCTTCACATTCAGCCTTCACATTCCGTCACTGTCTGCAGTGCTTTGTTGCATTGTAACACAATTAAGGGCACTACACAAACCTCTCTTCATCTCTTCCCGTCTCCCATTCTCTCCCTGGAGATGAGGAGGCTTTTTCTCATCTCCATCTCTGCTCCAGTTCCGCAGCTCTCTAAGTAACGATGTAACCTCCAGTCCATTCATAAATCCCATCCCCAGAGATTCTGATTAGCGTGCCCAAATAGAAATAGTTTGTGCTTTGACCCACAAAAATTCAGTCTCAGTTTCAGCAATTCTCTAATTGTTAGACACACATTTTCAAGAACGCAGTGATCAAGTAACAAAAAGGCCTTTTAAACAATCGTAATTATCCATAAATAGCTTTCCTATTAATCAGAGAACTACATCAGGGTGTTATTAAGGAACCCTAAGGAGGCATGTTTTGGCAGCAGCTCAGTGATGTTCATTGTGTCTTGGAGATGTGTGGGAGTTTCCAATGTCTTTAGCTTGGGTCAGAGAATGCTTATTGGGTTTTGTGGTTTAGGTATCCTTACACAGCCAACTCAAGCTCCAGAAGAGAAAGAGTAGCAGGCGGGAGGGGCTGCAGTTCAAATGCATTGAGGACAGAAATCAGGAAGACATTTCTTTACTCAAACAATTTTTGGAGCAATCCTTAATGAACCACAATGCAGTAGCTGATTCACTGGAATTCTTCAGAAAGCAACCAATTCTGAGGTGTAGAAGAAATGAAGCAACCAAAGGAACCAGGTGAGCTTAATGAACTTCCTCATTTGAAATGTTGATGTTCTGATGTGATTCTCATCCTTCAGGGTGTGAGACCTACATGGATATTGTCATTGTTCTGGATGGGTCCAATTCCATTTACCCGTGGTATGAGGTCCAGAACTTCCTCATCAACATCCTGCAGAAGTTTTACATTGGGCCGGGCCAGATCCAGGTGTGTGTGACCATGCTTCTCAAACTGGGTGCTGGGTGGGCTGGGTCATGTACGGTCATGTTTAGACTTAACTTGACTTAGTTTTCAAACTCGTCAGGGATGTCCCATTTTGTCGGGCAGTTTGTCGAAAGGTGGGTCTTGTAACCACTTACACAGTATTGTATAAGAAAAAAAGAATCAGGCAATCACTGTTATTTAATCATCTACTATCATCAGTAACTAATTCATGTATCAGACTGAAATGTATCCCTTCACAGCATATTTAATCAGATTTAGCATTTTGTCCTCAAGCATCACTTTTGTGTTTATTTTCTCCTCCCCCTCCAAAGAGAAGTTCTGCGTGGCTTTTTTATCTTCTTCTCAAGTTTGATTTGGGTATTGTGGGTAATCCACTTCCTAAGGACATCCAGAATAGGATGGATTGGCCACTGGGTTGCCTGAGCCCAGGCTTGGATCCCCTACTACCTTGACCAGTACCGTGGCATCTAGTCTCATCTCCTCACCCCACCAGAAGTGGCTCAGCTGCTTGTCCTACTGTCCTCCATTCAGAATGAAGTATAAGAGAGTGAGATGAAGAGATAGAACAAAAAATGTTGTAGTTTCATGTGTTTATCCACTTGGACATCTGCGTTGGAGTCGTCCTACGTTTGTCCTAGTTTTGACCAGTTCGGTGACCCTGTCTGCGTCTCCCAGGTTGGTGTGGTGCAGTATGGGGAGGAGGTGGTCCACGAGTTTCACCTCAATGACTACAAGTCCGTGGAGGAGGTGGTGAAAGCAGCCAAGAACATCGACCAACGCGGAGGCGCAGAGACTCGCACAGCCCATGGGATAGAGATAGCACGGTATGGCTACAGCCAGGCAGCGCAGAACTTATATTCCACCCCATATTCCATACTGAAATTACTGTCAGAAATTTAAATGTTACACAATTGGAATATCTCCTGATGAGTTTTCTCCTTTGTTTGCATATGGCCAGCAGCCATATCATCCTGCAACTTACAACTGGCAACCCACTGGCAAGCTCAGCAGGTGTGAGCCTGGTCAGTACCTGGATGGGAGACCTAGGAAAAACTAAGGTTGCTGCTGGAAGTGGTGTTAGTGGGGGCCAGCAGGGGGCGCTCACCCTGCAGTCTATGTGGGTCGTAATGCCCCAGTATAGTGACACCATACTATAAAAAGGCGCCGTCCTTCGCATGAGATGTAAAACCGAGGTCCTGACTCTCTGTGGTCATTAAAAATCCCAGGGCATTTCTTGAAAAGAGTAGGGGTATAACCCCAGCATCCTGGCCAAATTTCCCCTTGGCCCTTACAAATCATGGCCTTCTAATAA